GAAAAGTATTCCCTGAAACACGGAACGCCGGTGATTCTCCTGGAAATAAAAATCTCGATCAAGTCCGATGTTTCACATGCAGTTACAAATAATAAAAGGAATCTGAGTATTATGGGCCGCAAATTTTAGATATTTAATTTTAACAGTTTACAGAGCTTTGATGTTTCAGATACTATGCGGAATACTTTATACATCAAAGACTTTGACTTTTTTTTAGATTTAGCTAATTGTTTCTAAACTAGCTGTAAAAAAATATGTTTGACTTAGTACAGATTTCTAGTTTGGTTTCTCATTCGGTAATTTTAATTTTACTTCTGGACCTGTGCCTGACTGGTAAAAGGATTTGCAGTCCGACACCTGATTTAGTTACACATCATTCACACGTTTTCCAGGTAAAACATGCAGAACGCTAAACACTAAACTCAGGCAATGATTGTGTTGCCCCCAGCTGCACAGCGCGGCTTTTAAGGCAGTGATTATTTTAAGGGGGGTGAGTCGTCGTTGGAGAAATACAAGATACGAGGCTATTTGTCTGCCTGGCTGGGTATCTACGCCTTTGGCAACTTGTAATTTGACTCGGTTGGGTCGGGGCAGCTTGACACAGCAGTCTTGCGATGGACGGCACTCATTGCTGCGCCTCTTTTAGACCTCCGAGCTTGATATCGTGAGTCAAATTTCCTTTTTTTTAAAAACGCCAGGCCTATTCCCACCCAGGCTGGCGCTTAACCCTTATTAACTGCTGTTTTACAATTGCATCAGACACTCTCAACGCATTTCCGGAAATGGCCGAGTGGGCTCGATCCGGACCTCCTCTGCAACGCATCTTGTCCTGCGACAGCTGTCCCGTATCACATTCGCCCGGCATGCAGCCATTGATCGTCCGCTGATACGGACCAAAGGACGATAAATCCCCGCCTAGCTAAATTGGAACGATAACTCAGACCATTAGTGAATTAGTTTGTTTTTAAAGTCTGCCATTGATTTAGGAGGCTGCCGATTGGGCCGGGTCTGATCCAGGCATTTAATTATCGAGCCTCCGTGCCGTGGCTTCTGAAGGTCAGGCTTTCGTGATTTCTTAGGGGTACAAAAGCGACAGACCTCCAACGCCCAAAGGCGGCCACCGGGGAGTTTGAAGATCTTACGAATTCAGCCATAGAGGTGGCAGGACATGATTTGCTGATCCTTGCTGACAGCCCCAGCTGCGATTGCTGGCAAATATCAGGAATCAGTGTGAACCCCCCAGCGGGTGACGAAAGGTAATCCTGAGAGGGCTCTGACTTCTCCCTCCGACTGACACGGGGCTGAGGCTGACATCAGTCCCAGAAAGGGAACAATGGGGGAAAAAACGGTCTGAAGATCACAGGAGTACAGAAGATGCCAAGGGGCAGGGATCTACAGCGCTTGTCCCCACCTGACGCAGCAGTAAACATTCATCCATACATCCATCTTCCATAATTGCCTATTCAGTGCAGGGTCACAGTGAGCTTGCAGCCTATTCCAGGAAGCACAGGGTACAAGGCATCGAACACCTGGGATGGGATGCCAGTTCATTGCAGGGAACAGACTCACATATGCATTCGCACACAACTTAGAGATGCCGATTTAACTCGTTGCATGTTGTTGGACTGCTGGAGGAAACTGCAGGAAACCTGCATAGACATGGGGAAAATGTGCAAACTCCTCACACTGACGCTGAGGGCGGAGTTCAGATCTCCGACCCCGGAGGCCTGAGGCTCCAGTGTTACCCAGTCAAATACAACTATCCATAACTGCAGAAATTGCGAAGGATTTGCAGCCAAAATGTGTCTCATGTCAGTCCATTTTGTCATGCAATTGCTTGGTGCATGGCATCAGTACCAGATTTTGCTTTTCTGTTAAGTTTCATGATATTGTTTAGGGTCTGGGGTGGCACAGTGGTGCAGTGGTTAGCACTCTTGCCCCAAACCACTGGAACCAGGTTTTGAGTCTCCACCCTGGCTCCATGTATCTGGAGTTTGCATGTTCTTCCTGTATCATCGTGGGGTTTCCTCTGGGTACTCCAGTTTCTCCCCATGGTTCAAAAACATAATGAGGTTAATTGGAGTTACCAAATTGCCAATAGGTGCATGTGTGAGTAACTGGTGTGTGAATGTGCCCTGTGATGGGTTTGTGCCCCATACTGGGTTGTTCCCTGCTTTGTTCCCATTGGCTCCAGACCCTGAATAGGACAAAAAATGAATGGACGGATGGATATTTAAGGTTTTTTTAAGACCAAGTATTGCTCACTTTCACATATTTCATATATAGTGTATTTATACTTTATTTGCTTTGTCTAATTTCCAGTTGTCAGAAGCTGTTGTATAGAAATACGTCGCAATTGCCATGACTCTCTGTCAATTCAAAGGTCACGTGACTTATTACTGCTTGTTACAGTATCTCTCATGTTCAAATACACAGATCTATTTTCCTAGATAGGAAGGGCTATTTTTATCTTCCATCATAATTTTACATCACATCAATGCATCATTAGTACGATCAGCATTCGAATACGTAACCAGAGCTCTTTTATGAACGAATGAGGATGACATGAAAAGAGTTTGTGTTTTCTTACACAAAACCAGCTTGAGGGAATCAAAGGGACCAATGAGGCGGCGATGAAAATGCAATGCCCTAAAAATAAAAATCTGCCACAGTGAATGTATAATTATGTCTTAGGGCATTGTTACAGTAAAGTATCTGCAGATGCTGGTGCATCGATGGCATTTTTGTGTCGGACGGCCTTATGAGGAGGATCCAGGGAGAAAGTCCCAAGTCGTGCTCTTTGGTTTTGAAAGTCCTCCCTCCAATGATAATCTGTCTATAGGCGTCCCTTTGGTTCTGGCTGAGATGAGTTTGGGGTGGTTCCGATGTGACCCGAGAAGCTGTCGACAGCTTGTCCCCCAGTCACTTGCTCAGCACTATCTACTGCCATATAAGTACAATGGGATAAAGGCAAGTCCTAGCAAGAATGTAACCATAACTACATCGGTAGTGTCTGGAGATGTGATTTAACGTCTGGGTTAGGCTGTTTCCTGGGGTACGTATGTGAAGGTGAGCTACTGGGTGCTAGCTCAACCAGTGCCGTGGCAGCAAATAACCTCATGCAGCTTTTCATTTTAATTACATTTTTATCTTCTTGGCTAATAACACAGGGGCTTCCAGAAACAATACAGCATTATCATCTGCGGCAATAGGAGATATGTTGACTCAGCAAATTTTCCAGTATAGCTTTTGATTGGTCAACTCCACCATGAAGTACCACTGACTGGACGTATTGGGAGGAGGCACAGCAAAGGGTCCCCAGCTAAAGCACCCCCTTCCAAAAGAATAGGAGCAATAGCGCAGAGCATTATGGGTAAAAAGTACAAAAGCAGTGTAAACCAAGTCACTTTGGATGAAAGGTGCTGCCACCAAAATAAATAAATCAATTTGCCTATAATCTGTCAGCTGGGTCATGCAGAGCGCGGGGCCTGTGCCTGCTGTCGAGCCAGACGCACGGGGGCTGGAGGGCGCCGCGCTAAGCGTCCCGGCCGTTACATAATTTATAAGAGCGGCTCTTTGACATTCGCCCGTGAAGAGGGGAGTCCGGATGTTGATGGGCGCGTCGGACACAAAGCGCCAAAAGCAGCGGGGTCTCGTATATTTTTATAGCTTCCCTTTGTAATCAGAAGACCCAACGCAGAAGACTGACCGCGGCGTTTATAAAGTTTAACCCACTAAGGGGGGGAGAGAATGCCCTTTATGGAATATTCCATCCCTGATTTTGGAATGGTCTCAAAATGCTTAAAAGGGTAGCTACCCCAAAACCAAAAAGGACATATTTTATATATATATATTAATGCTATCCACATGCTACCACCAATCGTATCACAGATATCGCTCATACTCATATCTTCAGCACAGTGATACGAGTGATGTGCGGAGTTCGGGAGAAGGAAATAGTTCTTACATTAAACTGCTCAGGACAAAGTCTGGATTATCTGGCTCTTTAATCGCCACAGAATGATTCCCATTCATTCGCCGATAGCTCCAAAAGTAGAAAGCTCCCAGCAGAACAGCCCAGATGGATGGACAGCACTGAAATCCCTCTAAAACATCCTTTTCCAGTTTTGGGGTGAACTGCCCCTTTAAACACTTTCATGAAATTGCTCTATATTTCTCATGATTATGAAATATAAAATATTTTAAAATGTGTGATTTGCAGCCTAAATGTACTACATGTGTTATATTCAACCCATAGATCCATTTTCTATGCCCACTTGTCCTATACAATATACGAATATTAATTATCTTAATTTTTTTCAGGCGATATTAGAACTGCACTCAAAAGTGCTGAATTATTACACATTAGAATTATCCCCTTTGATATATTAAAAAATACTGATGAAGCCCTTAAATGTACTGCTATGGCACATCTATATGAACAGGGCCGCCAACTCTCCTGCATCTGGCGTGACACTCCCGCTTTCAGACTCTCACGCGTCTGGCGTGACACTCCCGCTTTCAGACTCTCACGCGTCTGGCGTGACACTCCCGCTTTCAGACTCTCCTGCGTCTGGCGTGACACTCGCTTTCAGACTCTCACACTCACGCAAGAAATATTACGGCAAATCTATATTATTCCATTATAAACCTAAAATTAGCTACATCTAAAGTGTTGGGGCAATTTGCAAACCCTACAAACTATTAATAAAGTAATAAAACTCTTAAATACATGTACAGGTGTGTGCAGATTAGTCTTGAATTGAAAATCTCACTCTAGTCAAAGTTGGCAACACTGTACGTATAACTTATTGTAGCCTGTCATTTTAAAAAGCCAGTAACTGGGAAGCAAAACCCAATACAGATATCTGATCCATGTGCCGGGTATTTGACGCAAATTGGATTGTTTTGTTTTCGACTTGTGCTCAGGGTTTAAACACGCATAACAAACCTTCGCTCAGACACTTAAGAGCCGTCCACTTATACTATCGAGTTACAGCGCTAAAGGGATAGAGCACCGCGCGAGGCTGTTAACACCTGCCCTTCCGGTCACGTGATCCACTCGCGCCTCCATTAGTTGAGTCATCTAATGTGAGTGATTTGTATCAGGGTGAGTTTAAGGGCTGTATATGACATTTACATGTATTTTTACCCTCTTATATGTACAGCCCCGTTCTCGCTTTCAGACTAATGAGATGAATGGCAGTCTGCAGAAAATGGGCTTGTGTTTACCCGTCTACTGACGTCTACTCCGGAAAAAAAACACTGTTAAATATATCCACAGACACATTAGCGAGTACTGAGTAAACCGTGAAACAAGAAACGTTGCTTTGATGTAGGGCGGTAAAAATCGGTATTCTAATAGCAACGAATTTTTACTATGGTTTAGTTTTTCTACTGTCTGTGGAAGGACTTGGGTGTCAATAATCTTTGATGAAATAAAAAATAAGCAGTGCGAGCTATTAAATTAAATGAATTTTCTGCACTAGTATTACTAAATATCTTTATTGTATGTTTATGTGTTTATGTGATAAGTATATATAATTTAGTGATTAAGTGACTGCGTAATATGTTGCGTACCTGTACGTGTGAATGCAAATATATGCTAATCCAGTGGTAATGAAATTAAAAGACCGATTCAATTAACCAATATCAAACACATTTTGTCCCCACAAATACACCAAATCTTGTACACACAACAAGGTTAACTGAAGTTTAATTGCACTGTCCTTCATACTCTAGAACATGATCCTACGAATCCCCTACCTTTCTTTTCAATTAGACTAATTGCTATATTCTGACAGCCAGCCTCATTAGCTTAAGTTAATTATTTAAAATGGGATTCCCATTTAATTATTTTGCCTCAGATCTGTCATTGTCTCAGCTGCCTTTGTTTGTGCCCTGGATCACTTAGTCTGTCCATTGAAATCTGCCGACGGGTTGAGGATGCTTAAATAATCACCCAGAACATATGGTTGTATGTAAAGCCAATAAATATATATCACAATGACTCCTAACATTTGTGACGAATTGCAGGTCAGGAAACAGCTGCAGTGAAAGTGTAGGGGGCACCTTCACCTTTTTCCTTAGTTAGTACTGTTATAATGTCTTTCCATCTGACACTTCTTATTACGTTACCAGCAACAAAAGCCTTAATTAGCAATGTTCTGTGTGTTTTTAAACTTTAAATTGAAGTACAGTGAACTTAGCAAAATTCAGCTAACACTTTGAACAAAAGACCTTGGTCAAATTGTTGTTCAGTTTGCTATGCACTTTAAGTAATTTAAAGACTCATGTTAGTGTGTGACCACTGGTGTTCTCGATGGATATCACTGGTAAATTATCTTTTGACGTGATTTATAATATTTCGGTAATATTCTGGCTTAGCGCCATCAATTTTTTCTGGCTTTTTGGCGGCGTTGTAACTTTTTCTTCCAATAAAGCATGAAAAAAAGAAATCATTTCTGCACACAGTAGTACTAATTTAATGCCATAATATTGGTGTTCAGAAGCTAGAGGCCAAAGTTCTTAAATGCAATTATAGTCGAAAATGGCTCCCTTATCACTGTGGGTAGATACAGGGTAAAACTCCTCTGGCAAATCAGTATCACAGAGCCCCTCTATAATGTATAATGCAACACATAAGAGTATTATGTCACAATGCACTTTGATGAATAATTGGTGTCTAATTTGGTTTGGCATTGAAACTTTCCTGGGCCAAACGACGGCTATATGAGGTACTCACTGCAGTATTGTGCTCATATGTTGTGGGCTGCTTTGATTATAAATAATGCAAGTCAGCAGGCGCACGCACAAGATACCGAATAGCTAACGGGCTGTTTTTGCCGCACACGAGCTCTGAGTCTATGCAAAATACTGAAAAAGAAGGCTGTTGAATACTAGAAGTCATGACTATAGATGCTCTCACACCAAGGAGAAGCAGATTTGCTACGCTAGACTAAAACTCTGTGTTCATTGTTGCATTCAACTGTTATGCATATGAGATGGCATGTAGCTGAAGGTATGCTTTATACTGTATGGTCGTTCTTTTTGTAAGCAGTGGGCAGTATTGTGATTTATTTCATACATGAAATGCTTACTAAGGACCAGCATGGTGGCTCAGTGGGTAGGCTGTAGCCTTACAACTTCAGGACTGGGTGGAGAATTGTATCCTAGCTCTTTCTCTGTGTGCTTGTGGAGCTTCCACATTCTTCCTTTGTTTGTATGGGTTTTGTATTGGTGTCCTCTGTCTCATATGCTACGTTACCTGGAACAGACTCTGGGCTTACAGTGATCCTTTACTGCAGTGTTTCCAAATCCGGTCCTCGGGGACCCACAGATAGTCCATGTTTTTGCTCTCTCCCACCTTCCTAAAAATGTGGACTGGCAGGGAGTTGGGAGGGAGCAAAAATGTGGACTGGCTGTGGGTCACTGGGGACCGGATTGGGAAACACTGCTCGACTGGATATCTTTATGGAAGTTGGATAAGATGTTTACCATATGGGAAGCTTTCCCAGTAAGAAGGCAAAACATTTAGCAGGTGTAGTGAAATCCCAATCCACGTTTCCGTTAGAAATATTTTTTTCACCTCTACATGGAAAACAGTGTTTGTTTTGGGTAAATATGTGACATATTTTCCGATAAAATAATTCAACATTAATAGTGATTCTGTCATTGAAGGCTGTGTCTGGCTCCAATAAACAATGAAGCAGTGCAGTTTATCGTTGGTCTTTCTGACTAGCCTGATGCTGTAACGTATGATAAACCAGGCTCTTAACCTTGTCTGATCTTATCATGGAACCAATTAGTTTATAAAAAGTGAAGAGCGCTCGTCCTGGGTGCCGATTCATTTTCATCTACAAAGGGCAATGCTCCTTGTTAGTATGGACAGCTGCAATCTGGACCTGATAACAGCCTGAGGATTCTGGGACCAAGTGCTTTTGAGACGGCGCATGTGCCATCACAGAGAGAGAGGAATCTCGGCAACACTGCCTCGTTAGTCAGCATCACATAATTAGCTAATTTTATTATGAGTTCTTTTCTTCTTATTTATTTAAATGGACTGAGTGTGTTTGTTTTCTTCATCTATCGCCCCCTACAGGTCTCCACAGAATGGAGCGAGAATGAGCAGAGAGCGGCTGAAGGAAAAGCATGAACTGGAGGTTTATTGAGGTCATCTGCTTCCTGTTTATATGGGACCATATAACAGTTCAGTCTTCCCGCCAGGACCCATCTGCTGCCGAGCAACATGTCTCCAAGCAATTTGACTGGCTCATCTCGGACCGCGGGCCTTTCCACCACTCTCGGAGTTACCTCTCCTTTGTGGAAAGATTCCGCCAAGGATTTACAACCAGATATAAAATATATAGGTAAATATTGTGCCGTTGCGATCGCCGTCAGTGGTTTTTAGAACACCCACATTTCAGCGGGGCCCTTTAAAGACGTATCGACTGAAACAGACAGGGAGTTGTGGCCCTGGCTGAAGTTCTGGAAGCAGCTCTGCTGCCGTGCCCTTGAGGGTGGTGCTTTAGCAGGTGAAACGTACAAAACTTGTATGTAAGTTGTCAGGCAGGGTCTGCTAAGCGGCAAAATGAATGACATTTTACTTAACTTCTCTCTGTAATGATAACCCAGTGATCACACTCTGATCTCTGTAATCCCCGAAACCCAGTGATCCTGATCTGAAACGTGACGTCTTCACATGTCCCCCTAATACGACATCTTGCTGTGTGTGTGGAATTTTCCGGTATACAGAATGCACTATAAGAGTCTGTAATCTACCCCGGGTGGGGGGATACATTTCCATTTTAGCTGTGAGCAGTATTTAAAAATCATTTTTAGCGTTTTGACTTGTTTATTGTTTCCCCCCGAAGCACATTTGGGACAGAGCTCTCGGCTATGCTGTAACAGTGCTTTGGGGGTGGGGTGGGGGTGGGGGTGGCGGGGGGTCACCGTGACCCAGACCTACCAAAACCCTTACTGTCAGTCTATCTGTCAGCTTCACTTTAGACCTAAAATGTGAAAAACCTTGATGTTGTTGTTCTGCAAAAATAAGGTTTGCCTGGTACAGGACTGTGTACTTTCATTGATAGCAAGATTACTTGGAAAGGAAATACTCCAGACAAAAAAATGGCATATCTCAAAAATGAAGAAAAAATGTGCACTCTAATGCTCTCACATTTCCGTGCAGGGTAGGATATAAGAGTGGAATAACAGTCATTTTTTTGAAGTGATTCTGTCGGAGAGAAGAACAGAGATAACACCTAACCGTGCTAATCATGTGGTAACATGAAGGGAACAGACAGTTTAGCGTAGCGCTTTAGCTTTGATCAGCGCAAAGACGATAACTTAAGGTTTTCCCAGAGATGGAGTCTATCTCATTTCTGTGCTTTTGAGCCTGCAAAAGCGAAATAATTTTAGTTTTACGTGTCTCCAACAACCTTGGATATCATTCCAGAAAAAAATAAATAAAGGCTAGATGCCAAGTACCCCAGTCTTATGCCAAGGCTTAGACATCATTCTGCTGATCACAAGTTCATTAAAGAAACCAGAAAGGTATTTCATCTCATTATTTAGCTGTTTGGCAGATGTATTCAAACATTTCCAACCTGTACCCCTGTTAAGTGTTTATGGCTTGCAGATGCTTTTTTACTGATGCAATTGAGGTTAAGTGCATTCAAACACAGAAGCTTAATGCATTGAAAGGTAGACAAGCAAATGCAATGGCCACAGTTACATAAAACAGCTGGTAGACAGTGAGTGATACAAACAGGACAGAGTGTGAGTGTCATGTCTTCCATTAAACGTATTTTTTCTAAATTTCTCATAAACAAGCTTCTCACCTGCAAATGTGTCTAAAATGTGGTTATTTTAGTTGTTTATAGCAGCAAAATTTGTTGTTTTATCTGTGTCATGCATATAGTACAAGAATTTTATGTAGCAGTTAATATATGGCCAAAGAGGTTTCTCAGAGCTACAGAAACATATAATTGCTAAATGACATAATGATATTATGAAAGCTCTCTCAGCATTTGGCTTGAATCTTTAATAAGAGAATGCTAAGTGTGTTCAGGTATGATATAAGGATTTGGAGTTGCATACTGAGCTTTCTGCCAACGTCATGTATGTGGATAGTCAGAATAACAGGTTTATTGATTCGTTTTTGCTTTTTGATAATTTGTTGGCGCAGTTCCAGCTGTAATCACTGTAAGTTTTTTTTTTTTTATAAATATCACTTAATATCTTAACCAGTTCATGTCAATTTTGTATAGTGTCTTTGTGCTCAGTTTTCTTGTAGCAAATAGGGAAACTAATGTTGGATGTACAATATATACCTGCTTAAGTGTTTTGGTAATCAGTGATCTTTGTCTGCTGTAGCTTGTTGCGAGGCTGTGTTTATGATCTAAGGTGCATTGTGTCTTGATTACTGAGCTGGTTTATATGTGGATTTGTATCCACAAATACTACAATATTTTGGTAGCGCACAGAGGCAGCAAAGCAGAACAACAGTGACTGTGCTTAATGGTTCTGCACTGGTCCTGCTTCTTCTGTGCTGTTTGATGTACTCTCTGCATGCGGTGACCTTGAGTCACTTCAGAGGGAAGATTCAGCCAAAGCTGAAGTAAATGCATGTGAATGTAAAGTTTAAGTAGGCCGAAAGAAGCTTAAGTGAGCCAAAATGTGCAGCGCCCTCTGTCAGTGTGGAGGGCTGCAATCTGGGCCTATCTAGCTTATCTGCTTTCTGTGTTCTCTTCGCTTTAAAGCGGGTTTTACAGCACTGCAGTTGTGTATAACGGTACCCTAACCCGAAAGGTTTTCTGTGAAAAGCAGTCCCTAATTATCAAATAATTAAACAAAGACCTTAAGGGAATGCTAAAGTGTTGAGCTGAAAAGTTGAATGATAGTGTGTGTTTGCAGTTTTGTGGCGAGGGAAGTAGCACATTTTGACTGCTTACGGAAGAATCACCACAAAACTATCAGTACGTTGTCCTTCCTGTTTAATATGTGCGCTGAGCTGTGGCATAAGTCAGATTTTGACATAATAAATCCTTAACACATGTGACATACAATATATAATCTGACATGTGTTATATATTATAATTGTAGATTTATAGTAGGTTATATTATGGCATATTTATATCCTGCTCTGGTCTGCAGTGATTTCATGTCAGTAAAACTGCACTGTCCTCCTCAGCCATGTGCTTAATTTGATCATTTTCGGGAAATCTGCTCTGATACTGAGAACGTATTGGGCAGTCACTAAAATTGATTGATTGCCACTTTTTTTTCCTCCCCATTAAACTAGGTGTTTCTGCCAGTGTCATTTTTAACTGCCAAGCTATCACTTTGCCTACAACAGACTATATGTAGGTCATCACAGCAAATCTAGAATGACAGCCAGACCAGCTGACATTCAGATGCATATTTATAGATGCGGAAAACATGAATGCCATTGTCAGAATCATCAGAGGAAACATTTTTCGGTAGCTTGGAGACTTTCAGCTTGGAGACAGCTGTGTCATAAATGCGTGTTCACTTTGACTATCGCTGCCTTCTACTGCAGCCTTAAAAGATAAAGAACAAGGAGTATTTCTTACAATATGTGGGCGATTTTTTTTATTTTTATTTTTTTTTGTTTTTTGTTTGAGATAAAGTGGTGATACCTTTGTGAGAATGTCTCTGTTGGGATTCACCAAAGACACAGCGTTTAAATGCTAGTTTGAAGTGACAGGAGGCTTTAATGGGGCTCGGCACTGCTGTGAGTGATTTATATAAACAGGAGATGAACTGAGAAGCCCCTGACTGACACATTAGTGGAATGTTTGCTGCAAACCTTGGTCACCTGACATGCTCTTTAAAGGGCTGTTGTCTGGTGTTCAGGAGAAAATCTGTGAGTTACACTTGCAGAATTCGGGAAAAAAAAAGAACTTCATCCTTCATTTTCTATACACCATCCGCTAAGTGGAAAGCACTACTGTTACGCTGATCCACAAAACAATTTAAAGGGAATTATGGCTTTGAAACCCAGCAAAACTCGTTGAGACGCAATCATATAACCAATGGGAAGTAGGATAACAATGATTGACAGGGCACAGTAATCCCACCCACTGTGAGTCTAAACTAATCTTAGACGGCATCCAGGGTGTCTCTGCTCTTGCAGCCACTGTAGCACAGATTCGGTTTTTTTCTGTTGAGTTTGCAATGTTCCCCTTGCTTATGTTTGGCTGTCTCCTGGCACTTCACTCTGCTCCCCCAGAGACAGGTGCTTCGGGTAAATTGGTGACTCCCCTTCACCAGGCCGCTGTCCTGTACAGGGTGTACCCTGCTTTGCCACAGCCGCTTCCCACATACACACTCTGGATCACGGTGACCCAAATTTTTTTTAAGTGCATATTGAAAATACATGGAAGGTGCATGTTTTTTTTTTTTTTTTTTTAGACTCCAGAGTATTGGGTTTTTTTATTTTTTTTTGCCCGGAGGTTTACAGGTCTCTCCTGAGAGCCACGGAGCTGCAGCTCTCGTCAGCTTGGAGTGTGTACTCTCTCTCTCTCTCTCTCTCTAAAATCTGTCGCAAACCCTGAAATGAGTATTAATTGCCCCAGAATGTGGCACATGGCTGCAGATCTTCCCCGACACACTCGCAGGCGCACGATGGCTTTCACGCAGCGACATGTTGTTCCCCCGGCAATCTTATACAATACTGAGCAGCTGCTGGAAATTCAAAATATTACCCCTTTGCTTTCTTTACTCTGTTAATCTTCCCTTCAACGAACTGACAAGGTACAACAAATAGGCGACTAGATAGAGCTTTGATTCTCCTCCTTTCCTGTCAACACCTTAGAATCTTGGAAAAAAACATCTCCCCCTCTCTTTGTCTCTTGATACATTCGATTAATTTTTGCTGAAGTGAAGACTCTCCCTCACTCCAGCCTGAAGTCAGTCCATTCCTGCTCTTCATGTTTATTTCCCGTTTTATGTCATCTTTGCTACCACTCTGCCATGTGCAGGTGCCGCATTTGTGCATCCGGTTGTCTGACGGCTGCATCACGGGAGCGTTTAGATAAACTCCCTTTTGGGGTCCCAAGTCCGTGTGCTGCCTGTTCATGTCAGGGACCAGTGATTATTTGATGGGGGAGGGTTTGGAGTGGAGTGGGCTCTGCATCTGCAGTTGTCCGAGTTTGTACACGGATCCTGACACTAAAATTCAAAGGTTTCGCACAAAAGCCCAGTCTCCGTCACTTATTGAGCTGAAGTAAGCGTTAAAAATTCAGCCGTCGATGCAGAATATCACCTTGCCGGTGACAGGACAATTACAGGCTGCGTCAGTGCCCAGCAGAACACAGCGCATTTCTCATTAAAAATTGAATTG